TTTCCTTGCTTCTTGGTTCGATTTTCGATGCTTATGTCCGATGCATAAGTGTCCACGTATAGCCTTTTGCTATACGTGAAACCATCAAACAAGGTCGCAAGTAGTCGTTTTGGGGCGTACGGTGTTGATGATAAAGACACACCGAAGATAGAGCAGAAAGATGTCATACCCTATAACATCAAGATCCAGACATTTGATGAACAATAGGATATGATATCCTTCACCGACATAAGTCTAGGGAGAGTTGGCTCGAACCTCCTCAGTCGGTCGGCGATCCTATGCCCGACAGTGTAATCGTCTTGTGGACAATAAAAATTGCTAAAATCTATTGCAAAATATAAAATACATTATTCTTTATAAAATGAAATTTGATAATCTTTTTCGAGATTTATGTGTATGTCAAAAACATAAATTTTAAAATATGTTTTTAAAATACGTTGTCCACCTGACGAATATCTGTTTAGGCTGGGAAATAGCCCCCTAAGTGAGGTTCAAGACACTCTTCTAAATGAGTGGGGGGTTCTATACGTTCGGGTGACCGAGTAGCCTTCGTGGATCCTCGAGAATAAATATAGCTGAGCCTAGTCCCATACGAGTGTTTGCAGTCCCCCGTCCGAATTTTGTTTCTTTGTTTTATCGAAGCTTTGGGACATGACACTCGTGTTACTTTTCCTTTTTTTCGGGATTTCCCCGGGAATTTTGAGGATTTTCTTTTACTTGAGTTTTTTTCGTTAATTTTCTCGAGTTTTCCGCTTCTCCTCGGATTTCCTGGATGACGTTTTCTTCCGGACTTTGCTTTTTGAGACGCATTTAGGCTTGCTATGCTTAAGGAACATCGGATCTCACGGACGTACAGGTTTGCTTTACATTTTTCAATACTTTATTTTTTTGCTTCTACCTGCTACTACTCTTTTTGTAAAGCATGTTACACTTGTCATGTTTTCTACCTGCTACCGTACTGTAAAGCATGTTACACTAGTCATGTTTATACTTGCTACTGTTCTTGATGTATAGCATCTTATACTGCTCCTGTTTTTGCCTACTATTGTTCCGCGTGCATTCTATTGTTTTGTTCCTGCATCGCACACTTTACATTATATAACTTCAAGCATGTTTCCTTTTTGCATAGGATGTTTAGAGAACTACAACCATAGGGCCGTTTGATTTAACACTATAACTGGACACCCTAGAAAACTTAAACTACGCAGTTGGCAGCACGATCATCTTCAACAGCAGAACATGTCTTTCCTCAGCTAAATCAATCTTCCTTCCTTAGACATTCATTTTCATAGAAATTAAACAACAATCCATAGGATTTCGAGGTTGTTCTCCCAGCGCAACATAAATCCTCCATCTTCTTCTTTAGACATTCGTATAGCTCTGCTGTACGATTTAAGCCCTAACTCGTTCTAGGTTCTGAGGTTGTCGTCCGATACGACGTAAACCCTCATATCTTCTAGGCAATTCGTGTGACCATGTCACGCAAATATAAACCTTAATTAAATAAAATTGGCAATATGAAACACTTTAATAATTTCTTCTCAAAACTGGAGCCAAATCATAGGATAGACTGGGAAGTCACTGAGGTTCTCCTCAGGATCCGTGGTCTCCCCTAGTTTCTCTTTATTTGGATTCCTCAACATTGTTCCAGGTTCGATCATTCCCCCTTTCACACCTCTTCGTCCGATTTCGTTGAAAAATTCTATCTTTTTGACCTCTTTGAAGATAATATTCTCTGATTTTTATCGAGAGTTTTCTTAGGTGACTTCGGTCATTTAAGATGTAATTAACTATAGAGGCTTGCCCTTATAGGAAGCTTTTCCGAACCCAGCTTAAAATAAACCCTATTTAATTATTTGTATTAAATAGGGGAACTTGTCGGCAAATAAAACGGTTTCGCAGACCAAACGGATGTCATATATTTCTTAGTTTATTTGATTGAGCCTAACTGCGAAAAATATGAGGTCAGTTTGATTTCATATTTTTCTAAAATTATATATATATATGTAAATTGAAACGTCCTTCCGAAGCAGGCGACGGGATTTCGATTCCGGCTGCCAACAGCTTCTTACGAGCAACCCATAAACTTTAACCAACAACTTTTTTTAGTGCCGACACTCATGAGGAAATAATCATTTTATGTTTTATTAGATCCATTATATAAGTAATAATATGCCCATCTCTTTTCTCAAATAAAGTATTAACAATAATAAAATAATAAGCTAAAGCAAAATCTAATATGGTTGTACATTTTTCATTAATTAATCCAAAACCTTAGCGATCATGAATATTCCAAAAATCTTCTACCATCTCTCAACATATCCATTTAAATTTTTTCCAATAAAAATTATTTCTTCAAGAGGTATGAAATAAAAACTAAAATAAATATAGTTAAACATTAAAAAAAAACAATTGCATAAATATTCTTGCTTGATGTGATGCTTCCAATGGAGATAAACACAATGATTTCCATCAAACCTGTCCGACTTACATAAATTTAGCTTTAACAAAATTAATAATTGATACTCATCCAACAAACCAAGATATAAATTTTATGCCTCCAGTGGATTAATCAATAGGTCATCACTATCAACTTCGTCAAATCAATGAATAAAATTTCTCTAGAATACAATATTAGTGGTGGACAAAATCTCATCATCTAGATAGTCTTAGGAATAAGCTGCCAAAAAAAAAAAAATCTGACAAAAGATGGAATATGGATGAGGTGGAAAAAGGTAGAATTTAAGGAATCAAATCAGGTACATTGAAAAGTTAAATTATATCAGAATTTCTTGGAATTTTCAATTTGTAGAGATTAGTTCTAACGTGCTGCACAGTTTTAAACGGTCACATCTTCCTTGTATTTAATTTATTAAATGTTCCAAATGAAGGTCTTTCTATATTTAAATGCGGCATGATCTTATCATTAGCCTAAATTTCACATATCTGCTATCATAACTAGTAGCTAATTCTCTGTGAATAACCACGTACAGATTATGTGTATATTGTGCAAATAATTTCACAAAGGAGCTACGATAAGATTTTATCAGTATATGATACAAACTTTCTATGTCGATGCCCTATGGCAATCTCATATGGACTCGTAACATTATACTTATTCATATATACATTGCATGCAAACAAAGTCACAGGCAATCAAATCCCGCCTAAATACAGAAATTTTATCAGACAACGAAAGAAATTCCGTAAGATTCAATTAACCTATACAACTAGATCACTCAATTATAGGTGACAATAGTTGGAAAATTAAGTTGTGATGTCATTTTTCTTCCAGAAAGTTTTCAAGAATAACAATTCAACTTTATATCGTGGTCTGAAGCACTTGTTTTAGGTAAATCATATAATTTAAAAACTTCATAAAATAAAATTTAGCAATGTGAGAAGATTAGTAGTTTCAAAACATAGTATGAAATATGCCATTTATAAAAAATGATCTACCACTATAAAACATGGAATCATGATTTCTTGGTGTTTATGGTAAAACTATGAAAAATTCTACAGTGATGTCCTGATAAGGTTTTATATGAAAAGTGCATATAAACATGATTTTGTTTCCTACCATTAACAAACCGACTAATTCTACATTATGAAACAATTCCTGCTTCATCTCTTTGCAGATTTAGCCAAAAATATCCATTCCAAGTCATTTTAATAGTCTTGTCTCTTCTAAAACATCCGGCAGTGTAGCATTTCACAGCCTATAGCAATTCAAACATCCACCAAATAATAAATAGAAAAAATGTTCAATCAAATTGATTCTTTTGATTTGCATCTTACAGGTGTATTTCTAAGCATATGTTTAGTCTAAGATACTGTGAGAATATACTACTTTCAGGTTCATCCCTTTAAATAAAACAGTAGTCTGGCACGTAACAGCACAAAATTACAAGAATATATGCGCTAAGAATGAAAAATTGTTGTCCAGGAACAACTCCAAAAATTTCAAGGAACAACAATAGTAAAAAGCGTTACCTGCAAATACATTTACTTAAACTATCTTTAATGAAAATAATTAATTAACTAGCATGATTCAAATAAAATAAAATAAATAGCAATTTTTTTCTTTATATGTATATATTATCTATTTAAATATTAAAAAAGAAAACATAATTAACAATTTTAGAAGCAAACTCACTTCAAAGCCAATTCTGTATGTTGAAGACGATAATAAAAAACAGCTAGATCTCCATAACTTTTCATTGTATCTGGATGGTCAAGACCAAGTTCCCTCTCATTTATATCTAAAGCCTTCTGCTGATAGATCGTTGCCTGCTTGACATGCATATGAGATCAATTTATGACTTGGGAGCATAGAAAAGAATTCTATAAATTCTCCCAAAAGGATAAAAAAACCTAGATTATCTTACAAGATAATTAAAGTCCTACTAACTTCAATATCGCATGTTTCTACAAGGAAACTTGATGTCAGATTCTGATAATTGATGGTTAGATGTTAGCCTGCTTGAAATGAAGATGAGACCAATTACTTTGAAGCATAGCACAAAGTGCCAATGAGTTCTAAAGGACTAAATCATCGCAAGATAATAAAAGGTATTGCAGAGCCAAAAAATATATAAATAAATAAATAAAGAACAAACCAAGAGTTTTTTTTTTTTAAAAGAAAAGGAACAAAGAAAATGTGAAGGCCTTCTCCGCAGTGTCAATCGTCCTTCTACAAAGGTGATAAAACAAATAAGAAACCATGGGCAACCCATTGTCATGAATTCGCTCTTGGTGTTGAATATCCTTTTCACGGAAAGTTCATCACCTTGAATTAAATCTCCATTCACAAATAAGAGAATTATATTCCCAAAAATATATTCAATCCATCCATCCTTCCAGAATAACTATTACAATCTATTAGACTGTATAAATTCACACATACAACAACACAAGATAGATGGGGGGGGGGGGGGGGGGGAAAACGAGAGGGGAGGTGCATTGAATATGGGAGGGGATTGAGGTATAATTGAGTTTTTTTCAAGTCAAAATGGTTGTTTGGAATAAGGGGCAGATGGAACGATTTCGTTCATGCATGGAAAAAGTATGCATTTAAGGAAGGGGAATCAAGGGTTCAGATCTTGTGTGATATGTCTCCATTTGTTGGAAGATGGAAGTAATTAAATTCCCCTAGAAAGTTATAGATTTCGTCAAGCTAGTGAAAATCCACTACTTATATGTAAAATTTTGATATGAATTGATAAATTTATGTTTAAAAATACCAAACTATGAATATGCAGGAAAGTGGTTCAGACACGGCTTCAATGAGATTTGCTTTTTGAGTGATTATGAAACTTGATTAGGTTAGGGAGGATTGGCCAGATCACAATAGTATGTTTGATATCTCAACTCATTCTCTTGCTCTAAGTTTCCTATAAACTAAGAACATTATATACTAGACTTAAAAAATGCTTCTGCATGAGCTACACATGATTTTTCATCTCATACTTCCACATGAGAATTAATAACTAATTTAGAACTAATAATTTCTCAGCATCATCATTAATTTTATGCCAGATGTTAGTGGTCACATTATGAATCTTCCTCTATTCATTATTTGATAATGTATCAATTACCCATATCGATGAGATATCCTAGAAAACTTGACAAATCGTAAGTCCAAATCATAGCAGTAAATAAAATATGTAGGAGAAAAGTCTCCATCATGAACTAGAGCATAAAGATTTGAATTAAGAATCTCTCGACAATGATGAGACAAGTTTGCAAGTGCCAATGCCTCTCAACTACACACTGTTTTTTATAGCTAATTCGTTGATTTAATTGAGTATATTATTAAAGAAAAGCGTCTAAACAAAATGCATGCCTTCAACAGCGAGTAATTGCATTGTTAACAACCAAATAATGGAGAGGATAGCAACTAGTTTGTATCTTATTCCCCCATACCTGCTGAGATGTCAAAAACTAGAATAGGCTATAGATGGCAATTGAAGGTTACTGGCAGAGAGAGAAAGAATGGTCTGAGGATCCTGTTATTCTTAAACTAAAAAATAAAGGAGAAGGTAAGTCGAGGAATATTGGAGGAAAAAGGGAAAACTATATGGAAGAATTAGTAATTCTTTGACTCTTATCTTAAAGTTAACATCCAATTGCTTTATATTTATAGAAGAATAAGATTCAGTTGATGCCTATCCACAATTCAATTGAAATACACCATTTCTGTAAATGTTATTTTAATTTTTCTGCATCTATTTATGTTATGGTTAGCCGTCCCTTAAAAATAGTAGACTCCATAATATTCTTATTAGAAGCTGTTTGGGCCATTGTTGGATAAGAAGTGCAATTTTGTATTGTAGTTGTCTTCATTAATCACTTGAATTTGCTTATCATCTCTCCGTGGTTGCTCCCATACCTTTTCGAATCAATTTACAATTTCATAATTTTAGTGGCCACACAATTTATAATTGTAACTTTATCCTTCCAAGCATTGCAACCATCTATATACACTGTCCACATTTATTGATCCATTACAGGAAGGTAACTCCAGATTTGAATCTCTTCAAATAGAAATATGTTCCTGTAGTAGACCCTAAATATGATTTTCTTCCTCTTCCACATCTCTAAATGGTACCTCACTATTGACCTCTATATAATTTTTGCAACTCGATGATCACACCGATTATACCTACGGGTGTTCGATGGAGGCGAGCAAAGATGAATTACAGATGTGGCGATGAACTGATCAAAGATTCCAATTTTCACTGCTGTCGTGTGTCTTCCCCATACGTGCACGTGTCGGCCGTTATTTATTTTAATTTTGAAAAATATAGGAAAATATGAAAATAGTTTTGATAAGAATATGATTTTTGAAAGTAACATTTTGATTTAAAAATAGGTGAGACCAAACGAGTCTCACATTTTGAATAGTTTGAGTGACTAAGCACGATACCATAAGTAATACACTTATCCCGAAGAATAAACATATCACATGTAGTATGTTCAATCACCTAAACTAAAGAATTTGTAACATTTGTTTGGTTTGCGAAATATTTTATATGAGGCCAACAAGTTCCCCTACCTAATACAAGGATTAGATAGAGTTTATTTTACCTGGGTTCCAAGTTCCCTATGGAGGCAAGCCCCTATAGTTAATTACATCTTAAATGACTGAGGTCACTTAAGAAAACTCTCGATTAAGATAAGTGGTTTTACTTTCCAGATTTCAAAGTTTAGGTTTCCAAAATTGGACATGAGAAAATCAAATGGGAATGACCCAAATAGAAACAGTTGTTTTAAGGAATCCAAAGGAGCGAATAATAGGGGATATCATAGATCCGGAGAGAACCCCAGTGACCTCCTAACTATCTATTGTTTGACTTTACGTTTTTAAAATGATGTTATTTAATGTTTAATCCTACAATTTATTTAGAATTCAGGACTTATATTAGCATGATATTTGATCGTGCAAATAGCCTAAAAAATAGGAGGATTTACACCGCATTGTACGGTAACCTCGGAATCCTAAAGTGTTAAGGCTTATATCTGCACAACAGGATTGTGCAAAAGCCTAAATGTGAATGTGAGGGTTTATGTTGCGCTAAACAAACCACCTCGAACTCCTATAGGTTGTTATTTAAACTAAGAGAAGTAATCAATGTGAATGTGTTTTGATGTTGGCAATCCACCTTGAAGTTGTTCCTCGTCGTGCTGCCCACAGCGTTCGCTCCAGAACTCTTCGTAGTAGCACCTCAGGGTTTAATGTTAATTCCTATATAACCGCTAGGCTTTTCTAAATTAAGGTATAATGTGTATCAAAGTAAAAAAACATGCAGTATAAAAGAAAAGAATAGTATAGCATGCTAGGAGAAAAATACAACAAACTAGGAAGACAATATAGCAGACTAGGAAAACAGTATAACATGCATGTTATAAAATGTTGTAATGTAAATTAAATCTGTATATTTGAGAGGTTTGTTGTTCCTTTAAGCTAACTAGTATTCACTGTATAAGCAAAAAAAACATTGCCTGGAAAACTCAAGAAAATCGACAAATAATCCTGACGAAAAATTCGAGAAAATTGACGAATAACAATCCAAATAAAACTATAAAAAACCTTGGGAAAATCCCGAAAAAAAGACCACGAGTGTTTTGTCCAAAAATTTCAAGAAAAACATACGAAAAAGTCTGAAAAGAAAGGACCGCAAGCACTTGGGTCGGGGCTAGGCTCAAATATATATATTTGTACTCGAGGGTCGTCGAAAGCTACTCGGTCACCCGGATGTATAAAGTCCGTCACTCCACTAGAAGGATATCCTACTGAACCTAACTTAGGAGGGTACTCCTTAGCCCAGAATCGGTAATCAACAAGTGGATAACTCAAATGTAACATATTTTTAAAATTTAAGCATTAGCATGCACATATTTCAAGCATACAAAAGAAAAGTTGTATTTAATTTTGTAATAAAAATATTTTTTATAAATATTGTATATGTTCTTATCAGTTTATTTTATCAATTTTAAAACAAAGTATAGTTGTCAAGTTCGAGGGCATGGTTTGGTTGGGGCCTCTTCTTTCAGCTATAATTTAATCCAAAAAAAAAAGAATCAAACCGAACTCAAAAAGAGGCAAATCGAGCCCAGTACAGAGGGCAAACCAAGCAGCAAAGGGGCAAAACTCAGTCCAACGCAAGAGTAAAACAAATCCAGTCACATAGGAGAGCAAACAAAAATATTTCCAGCATTTACTCATTTTAAAAGAACTAAAATCGAGCCCAAAAAAGGGACAAAAACTGAGCAGCAAAGGGGTAAAACTCAGCCCAACACAGAGGCAAAACCAAAACCACATCCACTAGAGAAAATTTTGAAATTGAATTCCATCTATTTGTATATTTTAAAATGATCCAAAACCGAGCCTAGCTTATGGGAAAAAATAAGAACAATGATTCCAGCATTTATCCAGCCCTGCACAAATAAAACCGAGCCCAAGATGGACAAAACCGAGCAACATAGAGGCTAAACCAAACCTCAAGATAAGAGGGCTTCAACTTTTGTATCAAATTGTTATAGGCAGTGGATAAACATGAATAAATCCTTTTAGAGCCAACCTTTTCCAACATTTATTCTAAGCATGAATAACAATAATAAAAGCTTTGATAATTTCCCCTAACATGCATTTCTAGAGGGACAAACTTCATTTACAAGCTACCAATATAATGTTTCCAAGTATTTCAAGCAAAAAGAATAGAGGCAACCCATACATGCTTCCCTTTCACTGAATCTAATCATGTATCAATGTTTAAGCTTTAGAATAA